CCAGAGCACAGTGGTCGGACTTGTATGCAATCAGCGGCCAAAAAACATTCCTCTGCCTCTATAAAAGTGAAACTTTGGCCAAAGCTTTTTAAAATTCTTCTCTCCTATTTCCCACTCCGCCAACCCCCGATGTTAACGAATTTTAATTAATTATTTTAAATTAAAAAAGTTGATAAACGAAAAAAGGAATTTTTTGAATATTATTCAACTAAATCAAAAACTTGTATAATTTTGAATAATAGTTTTCTTTGACTGGTAATGACAGGATTTAAGATCAAAAGTAATCGGATTAGCAAATCCTGATTTGGAACGATCGGTTAGTTCTTTCGTTTACAATAGAGTCGATACATCTTAACGTCCTTATTGCTTGACTCTTCAGATTCTTCTTAGAGCTCTTCAATTGAAATTGGTACGTATGGAATAACATAGTGAGCGTAAATTAAAATTGTATGGACTAACGATGGAAGATAATACTAGGAATATTTTAAGGGTTGATTGAATTGATTCCTTTTTGAAATTGAATTCGAACAGCATTCAATAGCGGGTGGAGGAAAGTCTGGAGTTGTTCTAAATTTGTTTGTACTCTTCATTATTTTTCGATTTTATTTTCAGTTATAGAGGGACATACATATGTCATGATGAATAAATAATGTTTTCCAAATTATTATTTTAAAATTTCTGCTTATATTTGCCTTGCCATCAGAATTGCCATCAAGGACACATTTTCCTATTATAATTAGGTGATAAGAGGACTCATTGCGTTCAGTAATTACATTCGTGACGCAGTGTGGTCCAACTTCAGCGTAAGACTCTGAAATTTTTATTTGCTCTGGATAACTTTTCTCTTTTTCCTTGAAAATTTTATCATAGCAACGTAAAAAGTTAATATCAAGTTTATTGTTAACGAAGCTCCTAATAAGTTGATACTGATTCTTGGTTAAATTTGCTTCGGTGATAAGTGATACTACTTCACACGTCTTTGCGGGAAAGATCGACGGATTCGGTTTCCCACAAGCCAAACGCAAATCATCAGCAGCGGACGCATCAAATTCTGGGAAGCCGTTATCCTTCGCCGCTTCTTTCTCTGTGAGCACTCTAGCAAAAATTATGAAAAATAACACACAAAAACTGGYATGCCTGGCAGAATAACATAATAACAAAGAGAGTTGCAAAAGGTTGCAGCTAAAATTGTTCAACTGCAGAAACCGATGCAAAATAATTGGAAAGTATTTCTGCAATTTGGAGCGCTTCTGTTGAAATACCAGAAAAAGATTTAATTGAATGAATGTAACGGGGTTTTCAAAAAGAGCGCTACAAAAGTTTTGTTTAATAAAAAAAAGAATATTAATGAAATTATTTATTGCTGTGAAAGTACATTCATTCCCATAATGTATGAAACTCGATTTCTTTTGCATGCATTCTTTATTCCTGTGAAATTACATTCATTCCCATTATGTATGAAACTCGATTTCTTTTGCATGGCCACCACAGGCATGCTGGCAGAAATCCAGACGTTGAACCCTATTGTCGATGATTTTCAAACATAAATCGGCCGATACTGCTGTGATTTCACGTTTGAGATTCGTAAGAAGTTTATCAATAGTCGCAGGCTTTTTGACATACATGTACTATRGATTTGATGTAAGCCCACAGGAAATAGTCTAACAGCAACGAATCGCAAGACTGAGGCGGCCAATTGACTTGGCCATTTCGTGAGATAACATGTTAATTTTTACGTTTACGTTTTCAAGAAATTAATTGTTTCATTCGCCATGTGGCTTGAGCCGCCGTTCTGTTAGAACCACATATTATCCAAGTTCATATCATTCGTTCCAAAAATATTCGATTATCGGTGCGATTCCCATTCTTGATCACCGCGGAAGAAGTAGGACCCACTTACGCTGCTGGCGTCGTATTGAAAAAGCTGTCAATAAGAGGTGTGTTTGTCCGTGAAAGCTCATACAATTCTACAGACATTTAGTGTTGGAGTGCTTGGGCTGATATAAGCCATAAATTGTCCAAAGAACTAGTTTCTGTCTCTTTTTTTTTTTAATTTTGATGGGGAATGATGATCCCTACCGGAAAGGCTTCTGCGGATGTTATTTTTATAAATCGGACATCTATAACGAAATCGGCTCGAAATCACTGACCATAAATGTTTAGTGTACTTCATCAACTACAATAATCCTCTCCGAGTTACACAGTAAATTCCCTCAGGCTATAATGCTCTGCCTATCTATGGCTTGTGATAGAACGCCTATCATATTCCTTATCAGATATGCTAACATTGAGATAATAGCTACGCTTTGAAAAAATGTTATCGTCGATCTTAGACACACCAACTATTGTCACTATGTGCCCGAAAAAGCTTACTTATTTTGTACGCTTCACTAAGGTGTTTATTGAATCTTTTTGCCAATATGATGATATCGTGTATGTACTCCAAACAAGTCTTCTAGTGCAATCCATTCAATTCCTGGTTCATAAGTTTTCCAAAGATGGCAGGAGCACTACATAATCTAAAAGCCTTACAGAAAAAATAATTTTAAACAAAAGTCTGAGTCTTTTAGTGTTTTGTTCGAAATCGTCTTTATCAAAGTKAGATGGCCTGCCTCTAGTTCTTGTTCCTTGTATTGATTTTGCTCGAATTGTTGAGTTTTCCTCATGGAATCTTACTCAAGGAGACTTAATTTATCATGTCCTCGATCTACTGACACTGCTCTAATACAATTATAGCTCCTTCATAAAGCCTGTATACTTCATATCAGGGATAATGGGATGCCGAAATTATTCCAGTGTGAGAGCGCCCCAAAATAAGCGTTTTTTATAACATTTTCCATTGTGGCTAGACCGAACAAAATAAGAATTTTTGGGCAYTTAAATTAAAACACTCAATATTTACTACGATTGCAAATTACTTTATATTGGACTTTTACTATATGGCGAACCTACCTAAATCCCTTTATATGAGTTTATGGTATACGAGGTGTGTTCAAAAAGTATCGCGAATTTTGAATTTTCGCAGGTTACGTATATTCGAATTTCGCATTTTTTGTGGCGTTATGTTGGTACTCATGTCTCTCACTTATGCCGACAAGCTCGGCCATTCAATGTTCATTTAATTGTTGACAGCTGCTTTGCTTGCACGTGTTTTGGATCGTCTTCGATTTTTACCTATTCAAAAATATGGATCAAAGAACCTGTATCAAATTTTGTGTGAAAAACAAAATTAAGTGCGCGGATGCATTTCGAATGTTGACTGTGGCATACGGAGAAGCTACCTTGGACCGAAGTAACGTTTATCGGTGGTACAAAATGTTCTCAGAAGGCCGAGAACATGTGACGAAAATTGGCTTTTGCACCACGATAACGCCCCTGCTCACACATCGTTGCTTGTGCGGGACTTTTTGGCCATAAACAACACAGGCATCATTGCCGCAGCCACCGTATTCTGCAGATCTGGCCCCCTGTGAATTTTTCTTGTTCCCTAAACTGAAGAGGCCCATGAAAGGACGACGTTACGCTTCTCTTGACGAGATAAAGACGGCATCGAAGGAGGAGCTGAAGAAGATAAAAATAAATGATTTTTTGAGGTGCTTCGAAGATTGGAAAAACCGTTGGCGTAAGTGTATAATATCTCTTGGGGATTACTTTGAAGGGGACAAAATAGATATTAGTGAATAAATAAATAATATTTGAAAAAACAGAAAATTCACGATACTTTTTGAACACACCACGTGTTAAAGCACTGACTTTTGACCTTTCAATACTTAATAAGGTGAATTAAGGCTGTTAGTTCTCAATTGATGAAAGTTTTCAATCATTTCATGAAATATATTTAAATTTCGATTTTCATTGTTTTACATGTTTTATTAGCTATCTTGAACGGCGGCAATCCCTCCTCCCTCCGTATATTTTTGGTGTAATTTCAATCTGGCCGTTTCAGTAATTCCAATTGCATAACATCAAAGCCTACGAGTCAACTGCCATTGTTCGGTAGTAGAGCGGTTCTGACATTTCCAGTAACAGAGGAGTTGGGCATCTCTTTATCTCTGCTCTGAGCCAGCCTTTTTAATTGGTGAATCTTCCTTTTTTAAACTTAGCCATATTAAAATTAAATCTTTATTTGACAATTCCACTTCGTGTTCGCCAGTCTTAAAAAGTGTGCTAAATTTCATTAAAATTACTCGAGAAGTTCCTGAGGCATAGCAATTCACCAAAAAGTGGGTAGTGTCTACGTCTTTTTTCCAATTTGTACACCGGCTCCTATGAAGCCCACACGTACTATCTTGGGGGCTGGCACAGTTTGCTAATAAGTTATATCACTTTTAGTACCTTTTAACAAAGCAGTTAAATGGAGAGTGCATCCATAGAACGTCCGCCAGCATACCTTTAATGTATCCAGTTTAAAGTGTTATAAATAGCCGTTAAGGGAACAAAATTATTGTGCTAGTTTGCAACATTACGCGAGAGTATAAAAATGTTATGAATACAGTGAAATATTAATTTTAGATAAAGGAATGTTGTGGAATACAACATATTTTAATAAGAAATAGTTTATTTTTTTATATTCCGTACTAGCTGTAGATGTATGCTTATTTACCTATATTTCCACAATGAAATAAGGAAATAATTGGATTTTAATACGTGTATTCCCTGTAATAAATTTTCATTTTGCATGGCAATTCACTTTCGCACAGACTAGTATAAATATATACTAAGGAGATTTGCATGCAGCTCAGTGAAAATTCTCAATTCAATTTTAAATAATTTAAAAAGATTATGATATATGTAACATGGTTCAAATCAGTAAGTTTACTCCCTACTTTCGTAGTTAACTAAGGTAAATAAGAGGCCTTACTAATTAGAAAAATTTGCAATACTTTCCATTAAATAGCTGTACTTTTATTCTTTATGCACAGCATTAACATAATCACACCAATAGCTTATTTGTATACTAAAATTCACTATTTTTCTTTTTACAGCTTTCCGATAGTAATATATTATACTCTTTGTTTACCATATAATCGTAGTGCGTCTTCAGCAGTCTATAGAATTAGAATATAGAGCATCTTAAACAACTGTTCTCAAATCTAATGTATGTACATACATATATTTTCATATGTAAGCCAATTATAATCGTGTATTCAAAGCGCTCAGAGAAGATAAAATTAAATTTAACTCTAAACTTCTCTTCGTTCGTATATTAATATATAAGTAATATTATCAGCTTACATAAACATATTACATATGTAGTAGTTTTCATGAATTTTTTGTATTCTAAAGTGATCATAATTGGTTATTAACATAAATTAGTGTGAATTGATCGGTGTGGTGGAATATGCCATTAATAAAATCCAACGAAAGTTATATAATATTTGGAATTAGTTTATAATGTACCTAGACATATATGATTTTATCATGTTCAAAAAGTTTAAGTATATTAATAAATTAATTTAAATTGACTAAACCTTTTTAATAAGATATAACAATTAAACGTCGTAACTTTCTTTTAGTGGTAGTAGATACGAGGTGTGTTCAAAACGTATCGCGAATTTTGAATTTTCGCGGGTTACGTATATTCGATTGGTACTCATGTCTCTCACTTATGCCGACAAGCTCGGCCATTTTGAATGTTCATTTAATTGTTGACAGCTGCTTTGCTTGCACGTGTTTTGGATCGTCTTCGATTTTTACCTATTCAAAAAAATGGATCAAAGAACCTGT